TTTTTAATGTAAAATATTACCAGAAATAGATTTTTGAATTAAAATATTACCAGAAATAGATTTTTGAATTAAAATATTACCAGAAATAGATTTTTGAAGAAAAATATTACCAGAAATAGATTTTTGAAATAAAATATTACCAGAAATAGATTTTTGAAGATAAATATTACCGGAAATAGATTTTTGAAGAAAAATATTACCAGAAATAGAATTTAGAATTTTAGATAGATGTTCCACTTTGGTTGGCAACTAATCTGTCCAATTAGTAACTGCTATTGAATTAAGAGTTTTCTTCTCCTAGACGGGATGCCAACCAAGGAGGAAAAAATTCTATTTGCCCATTGCTACACCAAATCTTTTTTCTCCTCTTAGATGTGTTGCCAATCGTAATGGAACAGCTAGCTACCCCATTAGCACATCAACCGCTATTGTATTTAGAGTCGTCCTTCTCTAAGATTGGTTGACAACCAAAGTGGACAAACAACTATTTGCCCATTACAAAACGGTATTGAAACCAGAGAGCTGTCCTTCACTTTGAGCGGTTGCCAATCTCGGATAGAGAGCTCTCTCTACCCTGCAAATGAAACCATAGCTGGGAAGAGAAGTGATAGATCTATACATTTCCCAAGATGAATTTAAATATGACGAGGTCAGCCGGTGTTCGAACCTGGCTTGTTGATTTCCCATGATGAGCCGCTAACTGTTACATTAACCGCACATTCACAAAATGGGAAAGAAAAGAAAAACTCATATTAAATTGGTTTGTCTCTTGTCAGTTTTTGCAGTCGTCTCTATGTAAGGTAAGTGACAGAAAGCTGATTGCAATATTCCCAAATAATTCTTTTTAAAAGCAACGCTTTATTGTATGAGTCACAACGTGAACATTCATCGCAGTTGATGTAGAGCCTTGAAAACAATTGAAAAATTCCTTCTTCGATTCGATTGCCAAAAGCAATATACAGCAATTTTCTAAGGGGCCACTTTGCAGCATTTCCTGATGTACTTTCAATGAATAGCCTTCGCTGAGCTTATTGAAAGCTAGAGCCTGTTGATAACAAGATTTCCAAAGAAAATTGATTATCTTTTCACTGACATCTTTTTAAGTTCGTTATTTTTATTTTTAACCTTTAAATTTCAAGTTGAATTTCAGATCTCCTCATGCTGACATCAGTCTGAGTCGTGCACGACAATGTCGGCCACCCTTGCGCAAGGTAATTTTAAAAAACACTTTTTGGCTTAATGCTTCACTTCATCATATTTTAACTTGTTTTTGTGTCGAAGAGCTTCTAAGGACAATTACAACTTACTTCAAGAATAAAAAGAGATTCCACTCTCAATAGACATGAATATATATATATATATATATATATATATATATATATATATATATATATATATATATATATATATATATATATTATATATATATATATATCATATATATTATATTTATATATATATATATTTATATATATATATATATATATATATATATATATATATATATATATATATATATATATATATATATATATATATATATATATATATATATATATATATATATATATATATATATATATATATATATATATATATATATATATATATATATATATATATATATATATATATATATATACCAATTTCTGAATGTTAGGAATAATAGTAATCCAGAAAAAATAGAAGATTATGACTATTTTTCTTTTTTCGCCTTTTTCTTTTCAACATATATATATATATATAACGCAATCTGTTCACTATCTGAAAATCTACTGGAGTTAAGTTTTTTTTATTTAATTTTACTTCTGTTCTCATCATTTTCTTTTCTGGGCACAATTTTTTAAAGAAATTGTCCGAATGTTTTGTATGTCTAAGCGCTTTCGACTATTCTTTTAGCCATTATCTAGTATTGATTTTCCAAGCGTAGCTTAGACAAGGCCAAATGTATGTGGTAGCCGGTGAGGATCGAACTCACTGTTCAGTCGCAATTGTTCTAGCGCGACAATCTTGCTAACCATTACACTGCCTCGAGTTTTCATATATATATAAATTCCTTGTTTTTAAAACATTACACCGCCTCGAGGTTTCATATATATATATATATATATATATATATATATATATATATATATATATATATATATATATATATATATATATATATATATATATATATATATATATATATATATATATATATATATATATATATATATAGGAAAAAAATCGTTGGAAAATTGCTAAACGAAAAGCACAACAACGAAAATGAAGAAAAAAAAAGGGGGAGAAACACGCTAAAATCAATAACATATAAATATATATACCTTAAGTATATATGCCAAGTCGTATACGAAAGAGTGGTTCAAAATTATTCACATAGCTGGTTCCAACAATCATTTGAAGATTTTCAAATCAATCTGTATAGGATGACGGAAACCTTCTCTTTGCCGGCAGAAGGACTTTGTGAAGTCCCTTAATTTGTTGGGAGATATTATCTAATTATTTCTACGGGATTTTCCCTCCCCTCGTTATGAATATATATACTTATATGTTATTGATTTTAGCGTGTTTCCCCCTTTATTCACTCCTCCTTTTTGTTTTTATTTTTTCGTTTAATTTATCAATTTTTCCAACGATTTTCTCCTGATGAGATGTTGGACGAAAGGCCTTAGGGACTATTACCATTAATAAATTCCTTGTTATTAAAACAGTATATATATATATATATATATATATATATATATATATATATATATATATATGAAACCTCGAGGCGGTGTAATGTTTTAAAAACTAGGAATTTATATATATATATATGAAACCTCGAGGCGGTGTAATGGTTAGCAAGCTTGTCTCACTAGAACAATCGCGACTGAACAGTGAGTTGGACCCTCACTGGGTGCCGCATACTTTTGGCCTTGTCTAAGCTACGCTTGGAAAATTACTACTTGATAATGGCTAAAAGAATAGTCGAAAGCGCTTAGACATACAAAACATTCGGACAATTTCTTAAAACAATTGTGCCCAGAAAAGAAAATGATAAGAACAGAAGAAAATTAAATAAAAAACTTAAATACAGTAGATTTTCAGATAGTGAACAGATTGCGTTATATATATATATATATATAGTGAGAAGGAATAGGTTAAGAAAGAAAAAAATAGACATTTTTTTCTGGATTTTCTATATATATATATATATATATATATATATATATATATATATATATATATATATATATATAATGCATGTTTCATTAAATAATATAGACAAGTTTTGTTTATTTTAAGTAAGTTTTTTTCGTATTGTCTGATAATCATTGAAAGACGAAAGCAAAACACCATATTGATACATATTTAAATCCAATCTAAGCTTTCGGCTTACACAAGCCATTATCAAGGATGACAATTTCAATAAATTAAACAACACACGGACGAAACAACAATGATAGTCTGCCCTTGCTGCATGAAAATTTCCAAGTAATGACAAACTCGTATATTTAAACGAGACACGCAAGCGAAAATCGCGTCGTACCTCGTGACGTCACACATGACTATGTGAGAGTGAAAAAAGTATTAAGTATGGGAAGCCGTTGGTATAAACTAATGGCTTCTGTATTAAATTATAGGCATTTATGGATATTTGTGGAGATTTCATAGTTTATTTTGTTCAGGTTAGGTTGCAACTCTTTTAATGTATAAAGCCTCAAGAATTTTAATTTTTGTTTATTGTTTCAGTATAGCTGTGTTGCGTTCCGGAATTGTATACGCAGCCAGGCATGTTATTTTAAATGTCTAAAATGTTAGTTATCATTCAAATGTAGAGTCAAGCGCCGTGAAAGCGAGTTTGTTGTGTGACCAACGCAAATATTATTTAATATTATTTAAGTATATATTTCTGAGATGAGGTATTATGTACATTATTTACATTATTCGGACTATTGTCCTCATCTTTGTCGCCATATTTATTACAACGTTTCGGCCGTTGTACGCTCCGGCCTTATTCAGGTGGTTGCAATGTCCAACTGAACCCTTTATTTCGCTCACTGGGGTAGACTGTTCTAGTTTCACGTACCATGTTTAATGGATGTTAGTTATCAGTTATCTCCTGTTAATTTCCTTCTGAAAGTTCTCTACTCCCTTAATCTGGTATTGAACTGACACTCTTTGGGTTCTGTCACTGGATTTAACCAACGCCTTTATCCATGTGTTCTTGAGGACATCTGGGTATGAATTTCTGGGTATTATAAATCTAATGTCTTCAGCAACCATTTTTACCAGTGGTCATATTGCAATTTTTGCTGTTATTAATTCATGTTTTTACCAGAGTTCATATTGCAACTTTGTTGTTATTATCGCTTTTCTCTGGCACTCCTTATTACTGGTTCCCATATTGTATTCATTTCTATGCTTGGTCGGCTCAGGAGATTTTTGTGGTCTACCATATATGCTGATTCCTTAAGTTTACAAATTTTCTAATGGTGTTTCTTGTCTATGATCTCAACTTGATTCCACAGAGGACGGTGATCTCCTTTCTCTTTCCATGTGTGGTCAGCCACGCCTGATTTTTCCCCTTCCCCTTGTGTTACAGCTTTCTGGTGTTCTTGAAGCCTTACCTTGAGGAGGCGGCATGTCTCTCCTTTGTATATTGTCTTGTACTCAGTAACCTATTGCGTTTTAGAGGTTCTATTGCCTTTCTTCGGTTGAAATGATTAAAAACATCTTAACACTAAAACTAGTGTTACCTGAAAAAAGATTCCGAAAATAGTTTCCTGTCTATTGATTTAAAATAAATTTATCACAAACATTTCTTTCTTTCTTTCTTTCTCTCTCTCTTTCTTTCTTCCTATCTATCTATTTATCTATCTATCTATCATATTCTGTTCATTATCTATCTGTCTATTTAATTCTGTACATTATCTATCAATCTAAATATTTAATACTGTTCACTCTCTATCTATCTACTTCATTCTGTTTCATGTAGTTTCTTTCTTTCTCAGCCAGTTTCTATCTATCTATCTATCTATTAAAGACATTTTTATGTTTAACATAAGAAAATATTATCTATCTATCTCAATCACATTATCTATTATCTATTTCTATCTATCTATCTATCTATCTAAATCTATCTATCTATTAAAGACATTTTATGTTTTTCTTTTTATAAGAAATCTATCTATCTATCTATCTCTCAATCTATCTATCTATCTATCTATCATCTATTCTATTAAAGACATTTTTTATGTTTAACATTCTTTTTATAAGAAATCTATCTATCTATCTATTCAATTCTATCTATCTATCTATCTATCTATCTATCTATCTATTAAAGACATTTTTATTTAATACTTTTTTAAAGAAATCTATCTATCTATCTATCTCAATATCTATCTATCTATCTATCTATCTATTATCTATATTAAAGACATTTTTATGTTTAACATTCTTTTTATTCTATCTATCTATCTATCAATCACTTATCTATCTATCTATCTATCTATCTATCTATTAAAGACATTTTTATGTTTAACATTCTTTTTATAAGAAATCTATCTATCTATCTATCTATCTCAATCACTCTATCTATCTATCTATCTATCTATCTATCTATTAAAGACATTTTTATGTTTAACATTCTTTTTATAAGAAATCTATCTATCTATCTATCTCAATCACTCTATCTATCTATCTATCTATCTATCTATTAAAGACATTTTTATGTTTAACATTCTTTTTATAAGAAATCTATCTATCTATCTCACTCTATCTATCTATCTATCTATCTATCTATCTATCTATCTATCTATCTATTAAAGACATTTTTACATTCTTTTTTATAAGAAATCTCATCTATCTATCTATTCAATAATCATCTATCTATCTATTTTATTAAAGACATTTTTTATGTTTAACATTCTTTTATAAGAAATCTATCTATCTATCTATCTATCTCAATCACTCTATCTATCTATCTATCTATTGAAGACATTTTTATTTATTCTTTTTATAAGAAATCTATCTATCTATCTATCTCAATCTATCTATCTATCTATCTATTAAAGACATTTTTATGTTTAACATTCTTTTTATAAGAAAATCTATCTATCTCAATCAATCTATCTATCTATCTAATCTATCTATTAAAGACATTTTTTATGTTTAACATTCTTTTTATAAGAAATCTATTATCTATCTATCTCAATAACATCTATCTATTATTATCTATATAAGAAATCTATCTATCTATCTATCTATCTATCTATCTATCTATCTATCTATCTATCTATTAAAGACATTTTTATGTTTAACATTCTTTTTATAAGAAATCTATCTATCTATCTATCTCAATCAATCTATCTATCTATCTATCTATCTATCTATCTATCTATCTATCTATTAAAGACATTTTTATGTTTAACATTCTTTTTATAAGAAATCTATCTATCTATCTATCTCAATCACTCTATCTATCTATCTATCTATCTATCTATCTATCTATTCATTTTTATCTATCTATCTATATCTATCTCAATCATTCTATCTATTCATCTATCTATCTATCTATCTATTAAAGACATTTTTATGTTTAACATTCTTTTATAAGAAATCCATCTATCTATCTATCTCAAAATCTATCTATCTATTATCTATCTATTAAAGACATTTTATGTTTTTTATAAGAAATCTATCTATCTATCTATCTCACTCTATCTATCTATCTATCTATCTATCTATTTATGTTTAACAATCTAAGAAATCTATCTATCTATCTAAAGACATTTTTATGTTTAACATTCTTTTATAAGAAATCTATCTATCTATCTATCTATCTAATCTATCTATCTATCTATCTATCTATCTATCTATTAAAGACATTTTTATGTTTAACATTCTTTTATAAGAAATCTATCTATCTATCTATCTATCTATCTATCTATCATTTTTGTTTTATCTTTTATAAGAAAAATCTATCTATCTATCTCAATCATATCTATCTATCTATTGAAGACATTTTTATGTTTAACATTCTTTTTATAAGAATTCATCTATCTATCTATCTATCTATCTATCTATCTATCTATCTATCATTTTTATGTTTTCTATCTATCTATCATCATTATTTATCTATATTAAAGACATTTTATGTTTAACATTCTTTTATAAGAAATCTATATCTATCTCAATCACTCTATCTATCTATCTATCTATCTATCTATCTATTCATTTTTATTTAACATCTTTTTATAAGAAACTATCTTCTATTATCTATTTTTATCTATCTATCTATCTATCTATCTATCTATTAAAGACATTTTTATGTTTAACATTCTTTTATAAGAAATCTATCTATCTATCTATCACTATCTATCTATCTATCTATCTATTAAAGACATTTTTATGTTTAACATTCTTTTATATCTATCTATCTATCTATCTATCATCTATCTATCTATCTATCTATCTATTAAATCATTTTTATGTTTAATATCTATAAGAAATCTATCTATCTATCTATCTATCTAAGACATTTTATCTATCTATCTATCTATCTATCTATTAAAGACATTTTATGTTTAACATTCTTTTTATAAGAAATCTATCTATCTATCTATCTCAAATCTATCTATCTCTATATCTCAATCTATTAAAGACATTTTTATGTTTAACATTCTTTTATAAGAAATTATTATTTCTATCTCTATCTATCTATCTATCTATCTATTAAAGACATTTTTTGTTTAACATTCTTTTATAAGAAATCTATCTATCTATCTATCTCAATCACTCTATCTATCTATCTATCTTATCTATCTATTAAAGACATTTTATGTTTAACATTCTTTTATAAGAAATCTATCTATCTATCTATCTCAATCAGACATCTATTCATCATCTATCTATCTATCTATCTATTATCTATTAAAGACATTTTATGTTTAACATTCTTTTTTATAAGAAATCTATTATCTATCTATCTCAATCACTCTATCTATCTATCTATCTATCTATTCATCTATCTATTATTAAAGACATTTTTAGATTCTTTTATAATCTATCTATCTATCTATCTCAAACTCATCTAGATCTATCTATCTATCTATCTATAAAGACATTTTTTATGTTTAACATTCTTTTATAAGAAATCTATCTATCTATCTATCTCAATCATTCTATCTATCTATCTATCTATCTAGTATCTATCTATCTATTAAAGACATTTTTATGTTTAACATTCTTTTTATAAGAAATCTATCTATCTATCTATCTCAATCCATCTATCTATCTATATCTATCTATCTATCTATCTATTAAAACATTTTTATGTTTAACAAATCTATCTCAATCACTCTATCTATCTATCTATCTATCTATCTATCTATTAAAGAATTTTTTTATGTTTAACATTCTTTTTATAAGAAATCTATCTATCTATCTATCTCAATCACTCTATCTATCTATCTATCTATCTATCTATCTATTAAAGACATTTTTATGTTTAACATTCTTTTTATAAGAAATCTATCTATCTATCTATCTCAATCACTCTATCTATCTATCTATCTATCTATCTATCTATCTATTTATCTATTAAAGACATTTTTATGTTTAACATTCTTTTTATAAGAAATCTATCTATCTATCTATCTCAAAATCTCATCTAAATCTATCTATCTATCTATCTATTAAAGACATTTTTTATGTTTAACATTCTTTTTATAAAGTCTATCTATCTATCTATCTCAATCACTCTATCTATCTATCTATCTATATCTATCTATTCATCTATCTATTAAAGACATTTTTATGTTTAACATTCTTTTTTATAAGAAATCTATCTATCATCATCTCAATCTCTATCTATCTATCTATCTATCTATCTATCTATCTATCTATCTATTAAAGACATTTTATGTTTAACATTCTTTTTAAATATTTATCTATTCAATCAATCTATTTATCTATCTATCTATCTATCTATCTATTAAAGACATTTTTATGTTTAACATTCTTTTATAAAAAATCTATCTATCTATCTATCTCAATCTCATATCTAAATCTATCTATCTATTAAGACATTTTTTATGTTTAACATTCTTTTTATAAGAAATCTATCTATTATCTATCTCAATCACTCTATCTTTATCTATCTATCTAATCTATTAAAGACATTTTTATGTTTAACATTCTTTTTATAAGAAATTTTAATCTATCTATATCTATCTATCTATCTATCTATCTATCTATCTATCTATTAAAGACATTTTTATGTTTAAATTCTTTTATAAGAATATTATCTCAATCTATCTATCTATCTATCTATCTATCTATTAAAGACATTTTTATGTTTAACATTCTTTTTATCTATCTATCTCATCTATCTAATCTATCTATCTATCTATCTATCTATCTATCTATCTATCTATTAAAGGTTTTTTATGTTTAACATTCTTTTTTATAAGAAATCTATCCATCTATCTATCTCAATCACTCTATCTATCTATCTATCTATCTATCTATCTATCTATCTATCTATTAAAGACATTTTTTATGTTTAACATTCTTTTTATAAGAAATCTTTCTATCTATCTCAATCCATTATCTATCTATTTCTATTATCTATCTATTATTATTTTATGTCTCTATCTATTATCTATCTATCTCTTCTATTATCTATCTATTATCTATCTATCTATTAAAAGACATTTTATGTTTAACATTCTTTTTTATAAAAATATCTATCTATCTATCTATCACTCTATATCTATCTATCTAGATATCTATCTATCTATCTATCTATCTATTAAAGACATTTTTATGTTTAACATTCTTTTATATAGAAAATCTATCTATCTATTCATCTCAATCACTCTATCTATCTCATCTATCTATTTATCTATCTATCTATCTATCTATTAAAGACATTTTTATGTTTAACATTCTTTTTATAAGAAATCTATTATCTATCTAACTCTATCTATCTATCTATCTTGTATCTATCTATCTATCTATCTATTAAAGACATTTTTTATGTTTAACATTCTTTTTATAAGAAATCTATCTATCTATCTATCTATATCTAATCTATCTATCTATCTATCTTTAAAGACATTTTTATGTTTAACATTCTTTTTTATTCTATCTAACTATCTATCTCAATCACTCTATCTATTCTATATATATCTATTATTAAAGACATTTTTATGTTTAACATTCTTTTTATAAAATCTATATCTATCTATCTCAATATCTATCTATCTATCTATCTATCTATCTATACATTTTATGTTTAACATTCTTTTTATAAGAAATCTATCTATCTATCTATCTCAATCACTCTATCTATCTATCTATCTATCTATCTAAATCTATTAGACATTTTTATGTTTAACTTTATTTTTATAAGAAATCTATCTATCTATCTATCTCAATCACTCTATCTATCTATCTATCTATCTATCTATCTATTTATTAAAGACATTTTTTATGTTTAACATTCTTTTTTTATAAGAAATATATATCTATCTCAATATCTATCTATCTATCTATCTATCTATCTATCTATCTATAAAGACATTTTTATATAGAAATCTATCTATCTATCTATCTCAATCACTCTATCTATCTATCTATCTATATCTATCTATTAAAGACATTTTTTAGTTTAACATTCTTTTTATAAGAAATCTAGATATCTATCTATATATCTATCTATCTATTAAAGACATTTTTTATATTCTTTTTTATAAGAAATCTATCTATCTATCTATATATCTATCTATCTATCTATCTATCTATCTATTAAAGACATTTTTATGTTTTAACATTCTTTTTTTTAATCCATCTATCTCAATCACTCTATCTATCTATCTAAATTCTTTTATAAGAAATCTATCTATCTATCTATCTCAATCTATCTATATCTATCTATCTATCTATCTATCTATCTATCTATCTATTAAAGACATTTTTATGTTTAACATTCTTTTTATAAGAAATCTATCTATCTATCTATCTCAATCTATCTATCTATCTATCTATCTATCTATCTATCTATTAAAGACATTTTTATGTTTAACATTCTTTTTATAAGAAATCTATGTATCTATCTATCTCAATCACTCTATATCTATCTATCTATCTATCTATCTATCTATCTATCTATTAAAGACATTTTTATGTTTAATATTCTTTTTATAAGAAATCTATCTATATCTATCTATCTCAATCACTATCTATCTATCCATCTATCTATCTATCCATCTATCTATCTATCTATCTATTAAAGACATTTTATGTTTAATTCCTATCTATCTATCTATCTCAATCTATCTATCTATCTATCTATCTATCTATCTATCTATCTATTAAAGACATTTTTATGTTTAACATTCTTTTTATAAGAAATCTATCTATCTATCTATCTCAATCACTCTATCTATCTATCTATCTATCTATCTATCTATCTATCTATCTACTTCATTGTTTTTATCACTACAATTTCGTTCATATTCTGTCAGTATCTATCTATCTATCTATCTCAATCTATCTATCTATCTATCTACTTCATTGTTTTTATCAATACAATTACTTTCATACTCTGTCAGTATCTATCTATCTATCTATCTATCTATCTATATCTATCTATCTAATCTAACTTATACAATTTCCTTCATATTCTGTCAGTATCTATCTATTATCTATCTATCTATCTATCTATCTATCTCTTAATTTCTGTCTAAGCTTTTATTTTATAACTGAAATTTCTTCTTTTTAACGTATCGGGTTCTTTTACACACGATCGCCTTAACACTGAACTACATGAAAGACCAACAACTAATTCGATTTCGTTTCTAATGTTATCAGTGTGTCACGTTATAAGAATTTTACGTCAGAGCCCTTTTTCAAGACAATGATATATTTCAGAATCTGATGCTATTACAAGTTAATAATTATAATTGAGTTTTTCGATTAGGAAATTAACTTAGATTAGGTAAACAAACACTACGTCACATCCAGAACAGTTAAAACAAAAATATATATTCGACTCGAATATACATGAGATATGAAAAGGAAAGAAAAAGAAATACTGATCAGTTTTGAAATCAGTAGGCAACTGAAATTAGAATAATCAAGAATCTATACCGGCAGCCAACACCTGCATATAAAAATATATAAATTCTTCTGCAATTTTTAATTTTTAATTTAAAAAAATTACTTTCAATATAAAATCTTCTATAAGTTTTAATTTTTAAATTTCTTTAAGTATTTTTTTCTTTACAGAAATTAGTTGTTAATATTTTAACATATAGTTCAAGGTTATTTTAATTGCAATCTGAATTTATATGTACCCATCTACCACAATGCAAACTGGGTTTAAGATTTGTCAAGACGATTATCTGCATCCTCTGTTATATTTCTTTTTTCTCCTTTTCTTTTTCTTTTATTGTCTCATCTTTCCCTCTTCTTTCTTTTTTCTTTAAATGTTTTTAAAAAATTTAAGCTACAATTATACTTGATTTCTTCACTCCCCCGTGTTGATAAACCCTGCAAGTAAGTTCTTGTAGTTAGCTATTCAAATAAGGTAATTTGAAATTTCCGATCTATATATATATATATATATATATATATATATATATTGATAATATTAGTGGTCAATATATATATATATATATATATATATATATATATATATATATATATAGAAATAGATAGATAGATAGATAATAGATAGATATTGATAAATATTAATTCCAATATATATATATATATATATATATATATATATATAAACCAAGAGCATAGAACCCAGGTGAATTCAATATTCTAGACAGAGCAAGAATATAATATAAAAAGGCTCAGACCTACAAATTTGTAGGCATGATGAATTGGATCGTGATTACGATTCCAATGTAATAAATTATAACCATGGAATATATATATATATATATATATATATATATATATATGAAAATTTCTCCGATTTAACCAGTAGAGAAGACAATAATTATGAATAAAAAATGACAATAGGAAAACTAGTAATTGCTGACACGTTTCATCCAATGTAGACTTTATCAAAGCAAAATATTGATCCATTTCCGACGAAGCTTTAATAAAAGTTGAATAATTTTAGATTAAATGACGTTTGTTATTTGTTCCTTATCTTATCATATGTATATATCTTGTATATACATATATTATTATTATTATTATTATTTTCTTTTTTTATGCTCTAAATCATAAAAATGTAACAAATATTGAAACAGTGTACAATAGCTTAGATAATATAATATATCAATATAAGATTGACATAAAAATTAGGAATGGCATCTGCGTTTATCCATCTTGTATATATATATATATATATATATATGAAAATCAGGTAAAATTCAGTTTTACCGTTGTTAATGACATAACCTTTAATTGACAGGAAATTGATAAACCGACTAAGCAGTCAGTTCTTGATAACGTGTACAATGACAGTCAAAAGTACTCTGATTTAAAAAAAATGTCTTTGAATATATCTATCTATCTATCTATCTGGGTAAGCGCATGGGAATACAAGGTGCGTGCTGTAAGTTTCAATGTGTGGGAGGTGTGATGGATAACGATTCGCCATTATTAATCAGTGAGTAAATTTCAAAAATATGGCAAAAGGTCAAAAGTGGGCGGGTGAGGAATGGCTGATCTTCATCTGTTTTGTCTTTAACTTAGCTACCCACAATTACTGACCCAAACATAACACAGAATTCCTTACATCAAAACAACACATTCTTATCATTCTTGCGACAGCCACCATGATAATTCCAAGGTCTGTATGAAGTTTTAACTAGTTGCCAGATATACAATTTTTCTGGTCGGTGTGTTAATAAGAGACTAGAATTTCAATTCCTTTCAGACTCGTTACATACAATTAAACACAAACACCATTTGAAGTGCTATGAGTTCTCTTCTCCCCCAGTTCATGAGTTAGTAAGTCTTGCAAAACCAAAACATTATTACCTAAATTATATTGCAATCACAAAATATTGTTTGAATTTATATAACCGATAAAGGGTTGATAAGCATTACAAATTGAATGAATCTATCTATCTATCTATCTATCTATCTATCTATCTATCTAAGTCTGTTCATTTTCTTTCTTTCTATGTATCCAAGTCTGTTCATTTTCTTTCTTTCTTTCTTTCTTTCTTTCTTTCTTTCTTTCTTTCTTTCTTTCTTTCTTTCTTTCTAAGTCTGTTCATTTTCTATCTATCTATCTATCTATCTATCTATCTATCTATCTATCTGTTCATTTCCTTTCTGTCTAAGTCTATTCATTTTCTTCCTTCCTTCCTCCCTTTCTTTCTTTCTTTCTTTCTTTCTTTCTTTCTTTCTTTCTGTTCAATTAATATCTATCTCAGTGTCTACATTTCTTTCTTGGTTGTTGATATCCCATGTATTTCAGCGATCAGTGATTTGAACCGAGGTAAATTCCTTTCGAATCCAGAGTTTAATAGAAACCAATCTCTCTTTTAACAAAAGACGTTTTGAATCAGGTGCTACAATGAGATGCACCCAGGAATTTTCGGCCCCGATCGCTTTCTTCCCGCTCAATGTCGAGGATGGGAATAATACAACAAAAGTCGATTCGCTGTAGTTAATTGTTCTCAATTATTCGGACGTATAAAGGAAAGAATAAAAATCGATCGATCAACGAACAATGTTCCTTGTTTCAAGTCGTCTTCGTCCAACAAAAGACAATCGTCTTATCACTTCTAAATCACTGGGATTAGGTGGCTCTAGAGAAACGTAGGAAGAAACCGATGACCTTTGAATATGTCTCGTTCTTGTGTGTGCGCGCGCGCGTATGTGTGTGTGTGTGTGCGTGTAAAAGTTCACATATAATATATCTGTACAAAGACAATATACATAAAGAATAAAGAAAACTTTTCTTTACCAAAGCGTTTCGTCCTCTCATGCACTTTAGCAAAGTAAATGTAAGGATTTTATTTTGCAACATGTATTTTTAAACAGAAGTAAAAAATCGTCAATTTAAAAAAAAAAATTTAAAATGAAGAACGATCAAAGGTTTTCTCAGGGATAAATATGAACGTCAAGGTAAACTATGGATCATGTTTAGTAGTGTAATTAATGCTGAATAAATTTGTTGGTATAGAAAGTGAAATTAAAAACAAACAAAAAACAAAAAAATCCCACCAAAACATAATGAAAAATAAGGAAAACAGCACCAGCCTACAGCAATAAATCCAAAAACATGTAAACACTGTCTGGAGGGGAAAATAGCTATAATTACATTCCCAGAAATGACTAAATAAGCCATAAGAACTTACCTAAAAATGCATACACGAAATCAAATTTTTGCTACGTTATTTAAAAATCGAAAACTAAAAGCGAACGAAAATAAATAAATAAATAAGCAAAATAAGGAAGCAAAATAAATAAGTAAAATAAATAAACAAGCAAAATAAATAAATAAATAAACAAAATAAACGAAATAAGTTAATCCAATTCAATATAAAAGCAAACAATTAAGTAAATAATAAACAAATTAACAAAGTACGAACGCGCGCATACGCACTTGTAAACGTAATGACAAAAAAGTAACCAATAAAAAATGAGTAAAAATTTACCATAGAAAATTAAATAAATCACACACACACACACACACACACACACACACACACACACACATATATATATATATATATATATATATATATATATATATATATATATGACCATCATCCCCCAAAGAAAGTATGGAAAATAAAAAAGTTTACATTGGAATTTCCGCGCGAGAATGGAAACAATGATGTTATACCCATAAGCACTAATCCTCTAACCCTAAACTTAAACACCAAACAGCTCTTTCAAAACAATTTTGGGATATAAGGGACGAAAATTTAAACCCACAGACAGTTTGGAACATCATAGCTTCTGTAAAAACTCCGAATAGTTTTAGAGATAGGTGTGTTTTATGCTTCGAAGAAAAATTAGAATAATAAAATACGATAATGAAAGAAACTATTAAATCAGAAGAACGAATTAGTGTTCAAATGTCGACATAAAAACAAATTAAAATTTCCATAATATAGTTGTGTCTTAATTACCTACCCCAAATCACTCCGGCGGCTTCTGGTCGTTCCTGTCTCTGCGTCTGTGGGAACCCCGCGGCAAGCAAGTAGGCCTGGGTACCCTACTTCTGTAATTTATCCGAAGAATCTTCTTCTCATAACAGGAAGAAGCCGGCTCAATCCGCGCAGGGTGAATGCCGCATCAAGTACAAGTACAAGTAAGTATCCCCCGACTCCCATCCCCTCTTCAAATGTCGACATAGAAAAACGTAATTCTAATTCTTCTAGCGGAATTTTGCCTTATGTATCTACTCAAATCACCCCCTCTAAAACCCTTCATAATATATTAGTTATAATTTATACATTTTTTCTACTAAGAATATCTCCCTAACTCTCTTTCCATTAATCCCTTACGTCTCTTTATATTTTTAAATTTATTTTTGCTTTCGTTTTTAATGTCTTCTTTAATTTAAATTTAAGTTAAACAGTTGTGTTTTCCTCTTCATACTCCGAATTTGTTCTCATAAGGTTAATATTATGTTTTTTATAAAACTTCTCCCCTTTAAGATAAATAACTACCACCCACTTGACCCCTGTCTCATACCTATTGTTTGACTGAAATATTGAAAAGTGTAAACTCTCTATTAGTGTTTTTTGGATAGTTAAGGCGCACCCTTTAGCTTCCAAGCATTTCACCACAGTTAACTACTACTTTCTACTTTACAGTCGTGAATTTCATTCCACACCGTGATTGAAAAGATAGACGACCACTTTCGTCGTCTGCCCAAATAGCCTCTTCCCCATATGAGGTAAAAGGATTTGTTTCATTACACACACACACACACACACACACACATATATATATATATATATATATATATATATTTTAAGCATTGTGCCCCAAGCAAGGCGTGAAGCCACTAGGATGCAGGGGGTTGCGGAAGATTTGGAGCGAGAGCAGATAAGAGTGATAGGAGAAAGGAAGAGGAGAAGGATAGTGGGTAGATCAAGGTAATTGGAGATGTCGATTGACATTACATTTGAATAGTTGGAGATTATAGCTTTCAGGGAAACAGTAATGGGGAGGGTGTTCCACTGGCGAGAGGTGCGAGGTATGAAGCTATTGAGAAGAGACGGCTACATTTGAAGGTTTCTACGGTGTAAGGGTGAGAGCGGGATGCCAGCCTCGTAGGGCGCTTGAATTCATGGAGTCTGGGAACCAGAGAGAGCAGCTCATCAGAGCAGTTACCATGGAAGTATTTGTAGAAAAGACAGAGAGAGGCGACGGCGCGTCTGTGAGAGAGTGACTGCAAACAAGACGCTAGATCAGGGCCAATTAGATTTATATATATATATATAATGAAATGGACAATGTTCGACAATTATTTTAAAACATTTTTATGTTTATACATTCTTTTTATAGATACAAATACTTAAGTAAATGCTCTGTTTATAATAAACAGTATTAAACAACATTTACCGGCCTGAATGTCTTAAAATAATTGTCGGACTTTGTCCATTTCATAATGTATGACGTCATTTGTTTACATTTGGATACGCCATGAGCAGATATGAATGTCCGCGAGAGAATCATGGAAGATTGTAGTTTAAAGACAGTAAAATCGGCCTTGCTAATCGAACGATCCTCTGTGGCCCAATCGGTTAATGCACGTCAGGCTATATGATGGTTCCGCATAGGATATAGGTTTGATTCCTGTCGGAGGGCGAATATTTTCTATGAAAATTCCTCGGACATTCAGGCCGGTAAATCTTGTTTAATACTGTTTATTGTTTTCGGATCTTGTGGCATACTGTACACGACTTCTCTGTATTTGACTCCTCTAAAAAGTTTGGTTAGTTCTGCACAAACTTTCACCACTAGAATGAAAAGATATGTGTCGGTAGTCTGGCTGTTGGATTCTTGGAACTGAGTTGCTTGAACCTAATAAGTAAAAAACGACAGGAGAGTCTAGTATACATCCATATATGTCATGTAATTTTTAATGTTCACTTTCTGTTAATTTCTTCTATCGTTCAACAGAGCAGTTCTCATTATTTTTGTGGTAAAGTTTCGATTCATTTTGATGACTTCATTTATGTTGACAATTATCCACAAATAAAACAAAATACCAGCCGGATTTAAACCTTTTTTTTTTTCCTATGCAACTCTTCTATTTTTTTTTTCATATTTTGGACCTTTCAGCAATTTAAAAAAAAATCTATGAACGTTTCGTTCGCATCATTTAATACAACTCGAAAATTTAGAATGACTCGTTTCTTTTGATTTGATTTGTTTTTGTTTTTTTTATTTTTTTTTTTTTTTTTTTCTTCATTTATTTATTCATATTGATTATTTTTCAGTTCCTTTTTTCCGAAAGATGTGTGACTTAATTAAATTTCACATTATTTAGTCAAATAATTTGATTTAAAAAAATATGTTTCTATTTGTAGATATTCCGATATTACAAGAATTCCTTCAATCATTTTTTTCATTCTATGTAAATATCGTTTAGTTTTCTTCTGTTCCTTTTCCAAATTTCTTTTTTTTCTTCCTTCATTATTCGTTCCATTTGTCTACGAATTTTCAATCTTTCTTAGGACTTTATTTCACCAGCTGTGTCTTTTTACTTGTCATTTTTGGCTCCTACATTAAAATTTACTTTAGTATTGCTTATATCATTATTTTCTTTCTTTCTTCATCTGCTTAATGTTTCCTTTCTTTTGTTCTTACACTTCTTCTTTCTTTCATTGCGTTGTACATTTTTCATCACTTATTGCATATCTCTATTCCTTCCATTCTTTCTTTTATTTTACCATTTTTGCAAATTTTGTAAAATATTTTCTTTTCTTTATTATTTCTTTATCGATTTCTTTTTGCACATATTTTCTTTCTTTTTTGTATTCTTTCGTTCTCGTATTACCACTTTCAATTTCAGCTATGCGTTTATTTTTTAATAATTTATCACATCTTTCTTTCTTTCTTTTTTCTTCTCGTATGGTTACTCCCTATTAAAGTTAGGCGCTTTTTTTCACTTTTTGTTGCATTTTCTCTCTTTCTTTCTTTATTTCTTTCTTTCTTTCTCGTGTCGTCACTCTCTATTTAAGTTAAGCATTTTTTCACTTTTTGTTTTATTCTTTCTTCCTTTCTTTCTTTCTTTTTTTCTCGTATCGTCACTCTCTATTTAAGTTAGGCGCTTTTTACACTTTTTGTTTCATTCTCTCTCTTTCTTTCTTTCTTTCTTTCTCGTGTTGTCGCTCTCTATTTATGTTAAGCGTTTCTTTCACTTTTTGTTGGAATTTTTATTTCTTAATTTCTTTCTTTCTTTTTCATAATGCTTACTGTGTTTTTTGTTTGTTTCTTTCTTTTTGTAAAAAAAATTCCATATTATTAATTTCTAACAACCAAAAATAAACCATATTTCTAACATGTCATAGAAGCATTATAATTTGGCCTTGGCATAATTCAGTTCGTCTGATGGTGAAATCAACTGATATTTCGTATCTATAAATAAAGAAAAAATATGAAAACATGTCCTTCCAATTTTGTGAGGCAACTGTTATAAGAATGCTAAGTTAGGAACGAAAGTTAGTGTGTCAGAATCGTGTAGAGATTGATGTCTTCTCCAATTTGAAAACGGAGGATGAATTTCATGAGATTTTAATAAAGAAATTTATAAGAGATTAAATTAAAGTAAATTAGAATTTATATTCCAAATATTATACAAAAGCAAAAAGATCTTATTAATATTCCAAAAATTATATGAAGGAAAAAGACCAAATTCATATACCAAACATTATATAGAGAAAATGGTTCCATATTCCAAATATTATACTATGGCAAAAATACCTTATTCATATTTCAAACATAATAAAAAGGCAAAATGACCCAATTCATAATCCAAACATTATACGAAGGCAAAAGACCTGGTTCTTATTCTAGACATTATACGGAAGCAAGTAGACCTAGTTCTTATTCGAAATATTATGCAAAAAGACCTTGACCTTATTCCAAATATTATACGAAAGCAAAAACACCTAGTTCTAATTCCAAACATTATACGAATGCAAGGAAACATAGTTTTTATTCCAAACATTATAAGAAAGTTAAAAGGCCTAGTTCTTATTCCAAGCATTGTACGAAGGTAAGAAGACCGAGTTCTTTTCCCAAACATTATTCAAAGTTAAAAGACCCAGTTCTGATTCCAAACATTATAAAAAGGAGAAAAAGGCTAGTTCTTCTTCCATACATTATACAAAGGCAAAAAGGCCTTGTTCTTATTTCACACATTATACAACGGTAAGAAGACCTAATTCTTATTCCAAACATTATATGAAGGCAAGGCGACATAGTTCTTATTCTAAACATTATAAAAGGCAAAAATATCTTGCTCTTATTCCAAAATTTTACAAAGGTAAGAACACCTAGTTCTTATTCCAAACTTTATACAAAGGTAAGAAGACCTAGTTCTTATTCCAAACAGTATACGAAGTCAAGAAGACCTAGTTCTTATTCCAAACATTATACAAAGGTAAGAAGACCTAGTTCTTATTCCAAACTTTATACAAAGGTAAGAAGACCTAGTTCTTATTTATTCCAGACCTAGTTCTTATTCCAAACATTATACAAAGGTAAGAAGACTTATTCCAAACTTTTCAAAGGTAAGAAGACCTAGTTCTTATTCCAAACAGTATACGACGTCAAGAAGACCTAGTTCTTATTCCATACATTATACAATGGTAAGAAGACCTAGTTCTTATTCCAAACATTATACAAAGGTAAGAAGACCTAGCTCTAATTCCAAACATTATACAACGGTAAGAAGACCTATTTCTTAATCCAAACATTATACAACGGTAAGAAGACCTAGTTCTTATTTTAAACTTTATACAAAGTTAAAAACACCCATTTCTGATTGCAAACATTATACAAAGTTAAAAAGATCTAGTTCTTCTTCTATACATTATATAAAGGCAAAAAAATCTTGTCCTTATTCCAAACATTATATGATGGCAAGGCGACATAGTTCTTATTCCAAACATTATACAAAGGTAAGAAGACCTAGTCCTTATTCCAAACTTTATATGAAGGCAAAATGTCCTAATTCGTATTCTAAACATTATACGAAGTTTAAAAGACCTAGTCCAAACGTTATACGAATGCAACGAAAACTTTATTATTGGAAGGCAAAAATCCTCTTTCATATTGCAAACATTATACGAAAGCAAACACATAGCTTATTTGTATAATCATTCAAAATAAATTCTGTTCAGGAAATCAACCGATTTCTTTTCTAAATTTTCCAGTCACGAATTAATTGATGAGATACTCGGTGGATCGTCTCAGTGTTTCTCGGGTAGTTCTTTCGAACAAGCTTGCAGCGTATGGGCCCAAGAATTACTTTCTATCCCACTAGACACATCAAAACAAAAAAGCTGGGATAAAATAAACTGCGAGGCCAATTTTACTAATTTGAGGCTCTCTCTGGATCAGCATCGCCTCGACTGTCTACTATCTGCTTCACAACTGAGTAGTGGCGCCTGGCTCAACGCAGTGCCGTCTTCATCTACCGGTACCCTTCTAGATGATGAGTGCACTCGAGTCGGAGTCGCGATCCATCTTGGACTCAAATTATGTGAGCGTCACAGATGTAGATGTGGAGCTTCTATCCATGAGTTTGGTTTGCATCCTCTCTTCTGTCGTCGTAGTACCGGCCGCTTTCCACGGTATGCTGCTATTAACGACATCATCGGAAGCGGTTTGTATGCAGCTGGGTTCCCTTCTCAAATCAAACCCATAGGCCTCGACCGTGGTGACGGAAAGCGGCCGGATGACATTACCATTTTCCTTTTTTAAAATGGGAAAGTCGTTGATTTGGGATGTGACCTGTGCGGATACATTTTCGGCCGGTAATTTGATGAGATCCGCGGTTGAGCTGGGGTCCGTCGCCCGGGACGCAGAGATAAAAAAAAAAATAATTAAATATTCTTTTCTTGCTCATAGATTTTATTTTATTTTTTTTACTCCTGTGGCAGTGGAGACTTCAGGGGTTATTGGCCCTCGTTCGATGGCGTTCCTTCGGAGGATTGGCGCGATGGCGTCTCGATTAAAGGACGAGCCTCGCGAAACGGAGTGGCACTTGCAGTGTGTCTCATTGACGATGGCTCGAGGTAATGCTTTCTCCATCATTGCGGCTGGCAGAGGATAGAAAAAAATTGTCTATAGTTACTTCGTTCAAACGTTTTTTTCAGTAAATAAATTTCTCTATATTTCAATTTTCACTTTCCGTTCGTTTTTGAAAAGAAACGTTTACTGTAATCGTTTTATATTGATTTGGTTTAAATGACGTCATGATTTGTTACTCTTTCTTTCTCTGTTCTATTCTTAGTCCTTTCTTTCTTTCATTCATACTTTTTTTCTTTCTCTCTCTCTATCTATAGTTTTCTTTTTCTTACCTCCTTTGTTTCTTTCTCTCTGTCTCTTTATAGTTCTTTTTTCATTCTTTCTCTCATTCTAGTTATTGTTCGTTCTTTCTTTCTCTCTGTGTATTTATATATTTTTCCTTCTCTCTCTATGTATTGTTCCTTCTTTTTCTTACTATCTTTGTGTCATTCTCTTCATCGTTCTATCTTTCATTTTTCTCTCTCAATCTATTTATTGTTCTTTCTTTCATTCTCTCTGTGTATTTACAGTTCTTTCTCTTTTTAGTTCTTTATTTCTCTCTATCTCATTATAGTTCTTGCTTTCTTTCTCTGCCAATTAATAGTTCATTCTTTCTTTTATAGTAATTTGTTTCTTTCTCTCTGTCTATTTATAGTTCTGTCTTTCTTTCGTTCTCTCTTTTTGTATGTCTATTTATAGTTCTGTCTTTCTGTCAGTTCATCGTTCTTTTTTCTTTCGCTATTTATAGTTCTTTTCTGCTATCTTTTATTTTTTATTTTTTCTTTCTTTCTTTCTTTCTTTCTTTCTTTCTTTCTTTATTTCTTTCTTTCTTCATGTCCTCCCATTCATTTAATTTATAAGTTTCTTTTTTAATCAACAATGGCTGCCCAAAATTCTGTTATGTTTCTTTCTTTTTCTTTCATTTATTCTTCTTTCTTTCTGTCTTTCTTACAACATTTCTACTTTTTTCACTATTTCTTTCTTTCACCATTTCTTTCTTTCAAATCTCCAATCAATTCCTTTTATTTCTTTTTTCGTTTCGTCTTTTCTTTTTCTCTTTCTTTTTCCTTTCATCGTTTCTTTCTTTCACCATTCTTTCTTTCTTTCTTTCTTTCTTTCTTTCTTTCTATCTTCATATCCTCCCATTTACTTAATTTATAAGTTTCTTTTTTTTAATAAAAAATGGTTGCCCAAATTTCTGTTGTCTCTCTTTTTTCTTTCTTTCATTTATTCTTCTTTCTTACTTTCTTCCTTTCTTTCGCCATTTCTTTCGCTATTTCGTTCCTTATTTCATCAATTCTCCTTTCTTTCTTTCAATATTTCTTTCTTTCTTTCTTTCTTTAATTTATAAGTTTTATTTTTAATCAACAATAGTTGACGAAATTTCTGTTTTCTTTCTTTCATTTATACTTCTTTCTTTCTTTCACCATTTCTTTCTTCATATCTCCTCATTTATTTAATTTATACGTTTCTCTCTTAATCAATAATGGTTGCAAAGATTTCTATGTTTTCTTTCATTTATTCGTTTTTCATTCTTTCTTTCTTTCTTTCTTTTTTTCATCCTTTCTTCATGTCCTCTGATTTATTTAATTTATAATTTTCTTTTTTAATCAACAATATTTACCCAAAATTCTGTTTTTTTTTTCGTTTTTTTTCTTTCATTTATTCTTCTTTCCTTCTTTCTGTCTTTCTTTCAACATTTCTACTTTCTTTCATTATTTCACTCTTTCTTTCACCATTTCTCTCTTTCTTTATCTCTTTCTTTCTTTAATTCTTTCTTTCTTTTTTTTTTCTTTCTTTCTTTCTTTTTTTCTTTCTTTTTTCTCTCTTTCACCATTTCTGTCTTTCAAATCTCCAACCAAGAAAGAAAGAAAGAAAGAAAGAAAGTTTATTTCGTTTCTTTCAATCTTTCTCTCTTTCTTTCTTTTTCTTCATTTTTTTAAATCAAAAATGGTTGCCCAAATTTCTGTTTTCTTTCTTTCATTTATTTTTCCTTTCTTTTTCTTTCTTTCTTTCTTTCACCATTTTTCTTTCTTTCTTTCTTTCTTTTATTTATTCATATCCTCCCATTTATTTAATTTATATTTCTATTTTTAATCAACAATGGTTGTCCAATTTTCAGTTTTCGTTCGTTTTTCTTTCTATCATTTATATGTCTTTTCTTTCTTTCTTTCTTTCTTTCTTTCTTTCTTTCTTTCTTTCTTTCTTTCTTTCATTCACCCTTTCTTTCTTTCACCATTTTTCTTTTTCTGCTTGCTTTCTTTCTTTCACTAGTTTTTCTTTCATCCTTTCTCCATTTCTTTCTTTCAAATCTCCAACCAGTTCTATCAATCATTTTCTTTCTTTCTTTCTTTCTTTCTTTCTTTCTTTCTTTCTTTCTTTTTTCGCCGGGCTTTCTTTCTTTCTTTCTTTCTTTCTTTCTTTCTTTCTTTCTTTCTTTCTTTCTTTCTTCGCCGGGCTTTCTTTCTTTCTTTCTTTCTTTCTTTCTTTCTTTCTTTCTTTCTTTCTTTTTTTCGCCGGGCTTTCTTTCTTTCTTTCTTTTTTCGCCGGGCTTTCTTTCTTTCTTTTTTCGCCGGGCTTTCTTTCTTTCTTTCTTTTTTCTTTTTTTTTCTTTTCTTTCTTTCTTTTTTCGCCGGGCTTTCTTTCTTCATATCATCACATTTATTTAATTTAAAAAATAAAATTTTTCATTTTTGTTTCTATCTTTTGTCTTATTTTAATTTTTTAATTTCATGTCAAAACTAACCCGGCAAAAATGAACAAACATGTCAAAATTTCGTTTTTATTATTTCATCTTTTAAGAAAGGTAATCTGTTTTTTGATTTTTCAAAAACGCCGTGATTTGGGGCAAAAACACTTTCATGACTGAGAAATCAGCATTTGAAAAGGCAGGATGTAATTCGGATTTATGCTGAAGGAAGTGCTTTAAAAAGTTCCTCTTGTAATTCAGCCGATGAATCATATACAAGGAAAAAATAATTGGCAAATGGTGGATTAAAATTTAAAGAAATACGCTCACGCATGATTCGTTAATTTCGCACATGCGCAGTCAAACAGGAATCGTAAATATTTTCTTCTTTTTTCAAAGTTTAACACAACACAGAAGCAAGTCTGCAAACAGCAGTTGCACGGATTTAATGCTTAGAGAATTCTAATAAAGAGTTCTACATGCGACAAAGAATGATTGCTTAATCAGTTGGATACCGAGTTATTCTTTGGACCATATTTAATGATCGCATTTTTCTTCTTTTCTTTGACAATTTTCTATACTGAATTTAAAAAAAAAATGATTTTCCAATTTGTTTCAAACCGGGGACAGCCATTTTGATTTTCATCTATTTATTTTGGAGGAAACATTATTTTCTTTTATAATACAATCGGTGATGTTTTTCTACCCGTAATTTTTGATGGTTTACAATGGAGATCAAGCGACAGCAAAGACATGTAACATTCCATTTCTCACCGTTCCACTAATTATTATTATCATTTTCTCACGTACGATTCTCGTTTTCAACTTAAGATATTGATTTTGGGTATTCTCCATTAAGTCGTAAAACCTCAGGCCAATAACACCTTTCACAGAATATTGGGCCCTCAGTAAGACCGCCACCTCCCGCGTCTATAGTTTCTTGTGTGCAACAAGGAGCTCTGCGGGAGGACCGGCCAGCTGAGCGTCCTCCGCCCCATTACTCGGCGCCGTGTTCGCTTGCTTGGTCACGTCCTGTGGACACCTGATGATCGCCCAACTCGAGTCATCTAGAAGTCCAAGGCGCCAGCTGTAATTTACAGACGATCTCGCAGCAGGCCACGCTGGAAGGACGTCGTCCGCCAGGACCTCCAACGTTGGAGGATGTTCTCAACTTCTGTCAACTCTATGAGAGCTGGAGGAACGAGGTGAGTCTCGTGGGCTCAAAGTGGCATGAGATTTGGCAGAGCACCAAGAAATGCAGACTTCTGGATCGATGGGATGCTCGGAATTATTCCGGTGAGGTGAGTGACATTTTCCACTCCCATGTCATAAAGCTTGCATTGTCCGAATCCGTTTAGTGGCAGAAGTTATCACGGATACAATTAGTACTCAACACTTCTTTTGGGGGCAGCTAGGATTATTATTAATATCCTATTATAAATGTATAATTTGTCCTGCCCTTCATTAGTTAGCACGACCACTACGCCCTGCCAATTCCTAGACTGTTCCGTTTTGATTGCGTAGAAAGTGAGGAAAAGGCAATATTTGTTTTCAGTAAGAAAATGAAAGAAAGGCAAAAGGGAATATAAGTGTTTAGCGTCTCTTGATGATAAATCATAAATAATGGACTATTCCGTAATTCTGGCTCAGGATTATATATATATATATATATATATATATATACTTGTTTTGTAGATACAAAAAATCGGCAGCCTATGAACAGATAATAAGACAATATCCAACAAACCTATCTAGCTTATATGATGAACAACTGATGATGGTCGAAAAATACTTGGCCGAATCGTGTATATAAAAATAAAATCTATAATAACTAAATATATGATGACTTGTACGAATAAATCATTTCTATTAGCTATACCTTCGTTCTGGGTATGACGATAAACAACATCCGCTCGTCCTGGGTATGACGATAAACTACGTCCAGCAGCAAAGCCTCTGATCAGGAGGTTTTGAGGGGCGTGGAACCACTTCTTAATTGCTGCTGTTCCCAGTTCCACCCTAACCCGGGGTGGTAGCACCTGTTAGGGTCCCAGATATGGGCAAATAGTTAACACCCAAACTTGTGTAAAAATAGGTTTTAATAGCAGAGATACTGTGTAATAAAATAAATTATTACCAGCAATAATTTTTGAAGGAAAAATTATTATCAGCAATACTTTAAAAAAAAAAATACCAGCAATACAAACAGCTAAACATTCTTTGAAAAAATATGACCAGCTATAGATTTTTTTCAAGGAAAAATATTCCCAGAAATAGATTTTTGAAGAAAAACATATTACCAGCAATAAAAATTTTGTCGGCATTAAATAACCCATTGAGGTTGATATGCCGTCAAACAAAATAAACCAAACCAAACTATTAGGTATACCTTGTTTCAAAAATCAAACAAAACTATTAAAAGTAGTTCAAACCGACCCTGATAATCCAAAGTACCTTAAGACGGTAGCACAGTATATATAAGCATGGATTAGTCAGGTTTTTTTTTTTTTTTTTTTTTCATCTGGTAGTAATGAGTTCAGTCCCTGGATTCGGTTGCGAAACAATATACACGGTTTTATTAGGGACAAACACAATATTCCATATAATGAAATCCTGATGATTGTATTGTCTGAAACTTTGTCTCATATAATATAAAAATCGAGACCAGTTCAAATAAATTATACAGGGTGCAATAGAAATACCTCCTACATATCCACCATTGTGCAAATTAATTTAAACAAAACGAATAATTCCGTTATTATTTACATTTTCTCATATTTTTCCAATGACAAATGACCCAATGCACATGTTAGTACTTCATATGCCCATTCCACAAAGTCTTTCATTGCTGATTGGCCACAGATTCTTGGATTTAAATCAGGAGAATTTCCGAGCCAGGCGATTGTATTTTGAATTGCTCACTGGTAAATTACTCATTGTGTTCCTGTAGCGTTACACTTGTAGTACGCTTACTTGGAGTAACGTCCGTCGCAGACAATGGCAGTAGGACAACTAATTGACAGGGGAGACAATAGTGTCTGAGCATGACGAAAATCTGATGCCATCACGGATGACGCAATATTTTTAAAGGCTAAATAAATTTCATCATACGAAGTAGATTCATATTACTGCACACTACTGCAAATGACCTCATTTGTGGAAAAATAGAAATTGATTACACCTTTCAATCCATTGGGTCTAAAACTGACCGTTTGCAGAAAGAAATGAAACTAAAGCGGTTGTTTCAATTAATTTGCACAAGGGTGTAATTACCAGAAATATTTCACATATAATGACAAGAGACCATTGTAACTGATGTCTTATCATTTTGTGGTAGGTGTTTCTGGGAGGTGTATGTGGGAGGTATTTCGGCTGTACACTGTAGTATATCGATGCTGAGATGAGATCAATATCTTCGCGTTCCATTTAATTACATTAGTGATATCGTCGGAAAAAGTTTACCCTTTTTCTTGAGTAGTGTAGAGTAATTGTTCATGATTAAATGTAATTGACAGAAATTCCTAAGAAACAGAATTGACAAAGTTTGCAATAACAAGAGAAGGAAAAGAACAGTATTAAAATAATATTAAGCAAGTAAACAACGCGTTCTACAAAGTACGCCACAAGCATCTTTTGGAATTGCTCAGCAACCTTGATATATTTAGGGAAGGTATTAGAATAATCAAGAACATATACTGGCAGCAAACGGCCTGCATGCGGACAGAGAAGGAGTTCAGCAGATACACAAGATTAGAAAGGAGCGAAAGGCAAGGATGTGTCTTCTCACCGGACCTATTTTCAACCTATACAGCGAGGCAATTCTGAGTGAATTGGAAATCCTACCAGGATTCAGATTGGCGGCTAAAATCTTAACAACATAAGATACGCAGATGACACCGTACTGATAGCAGACACGGAAAAGAAATTACAAAATCTCCTACAGAAGCTAGCAAGGGAGAGTGAGAAGAAAGGACTAAGCATAAACTACAAGAAGACAGAATACATGGTCATCAGTAAAAGGACGAGCCCAAAATGAGATTTGAAGGTCAGGGATACTAAAAAAAAATCAAGCCGGTGCGGAAGTTTAAATATCTGGGAAGTGTTTTGACGGAGGATGGTTGGTGCAACGCTGAGATCCGAAGACGGATCGCAATAGCCAAGGACACATTCGAAAAGCTGGGCAGAATATTGCAGTACAGGAGAATTTCTTTAGTAACAAAGAAAAGAGTAAGGATCTGCTACGTGATACCTGTCCTCTTTTACGGCAGCGAATTTTGAACGCTCTCCTCGACGATGAAGAAGAGTCACGAGGCAAAAGAGGTATGGTTTTACAGAAGGATGCTAAGGATATCATGGACTAAGTGTGTGAACAACGATGAGGTTTTGGAGACGATACAAACAAGAAAGAAGCTTATACTTAACATTAAGAAGAAGCAGATGAAATTTCTGGGACACGTAATGAGATAGGAGGGCCTGGAGAATCTGATACTCACAGGTCCAATAGAGGGAAATAGAGACAAGGGAAAGCAATGCGTGACATACCTGGCGGACTTAAGCAAGTGGATGACCGAACGTGGTCTGTAATGGGTGTGTGATGTCAGTAGGACGAAACTTATAGAGAGCTACAAGGTATACGGAGACGTGGAGAGCCATGATCGCCTACCTCCTGAAGGGCCACAAAACATAAGATAAAAAGAAGAATGGTATTAACACACAAAATGGGACACAGAAAGGCAAACGTAGCATTCTGACTTAAAACGGATGAGACCTTGAAGTGGCCTATCTTATTGGCTACGAGAAAATATCAACATGCATCTGTATGTTTTGTTTATAAATTTGGGAAGGGAGATGATTTTGCTCTCATTCCTGTCTGAATTGGAACCAGCAATAATATTGGCCAATTGATTTATCGCATCAACAGAAAATGTCAATTGTTAATAAAGTTGCTTCGACATGGAGTAATAATTAGTAATGCTAGCGTGATTGATTTTTTACTGCGTAGTAAATTAAGCCAGAAAGAACAATATTAATGCAAAATGATGTACACCTACGTCTTATCAATTATGCAACCGTTTTTTTTTTGTTGTTTTTTTTTTGTTTTTTATAAACTGCTTCACAGAGAAATCTTGGAACTGATAGGTAACCGTGAAATGTTTGGGAAGGTTATTAAAATAATCCAGAACCTATACAGGCAGTAAATCACCTGCATATGGATAGAAAAAGAGTTCAGTAAATGTACAATAATAGACATGGGTATAAGACAAAGATATGTCTTCTCACCGGACTTATTCAGTCTATGCCTGTGAGACAATTCTGAGAGAATTAGAACTCTACAAGGATTAATTATTGACGGCCACAAGCATAACATCATATGATATGCAGATAACACATTGATGATAGAAGACACTGAGAGAACCCTACTACAATCCATACAGACGTTAATGGATAAACGTGAGAAAGAAAATCACTGAACATAAAACACAATAAGGCAGAATATAGCCTTATCAATAAAAGTGTAAACGTAAGAAAAAAAGCACTAAACATAAATCACAATAAGGCAAAATATAGCCTTGTCAATAAAAGAATAAATGTGTAAACGTGAGAAAAAAAGCACTAAACATAAATCACAATAAGGCAAAATATAGCCTTGTCAATAAAAGAATAAAAGTGTAAACGTGAGAAAAAAAGCACTAAACATAAATCACAATAAGGCAAAATATAGCCTTGTCAATAAAAGAATAAAGGTGTAAACGTGAGAAAAAAAAGCACTAAACATAAATCACAATAAGGCAAAATATAGCCTTGTCGATAAAAGAATATAAGTGTAAACGTAAGAAAAAAAGCACTAAACATAAATCACAATAAGGCAAAATATAGCCTTGTCAATAAAAGAATATAAGTGTAAACGTAAGAAAAAAAGCACTAAACATAAATCACAATAAGGCAAAATATAGCCTTGTCAATAAAAGAATAAAGGTGTAAACGTGAGAAAAAAAGCACTAAACATAAATCACAATAAGGCAAAATATAGCCTTGTCAATAAAAAGAATAAAAGTGTAAACGTAAGAAAAAAAAGCACTAAACATAAATCACAATAAAGGCAAAATATAGCCTTGTCAATAAAAAGAATAAATGTGTAAACGTGAGAAAAAAAGCACTAAACATAAATCACAATAAGGCAAAATATAGCCTTGTCAATAAAAGAATAAAAGTGTAAACGTGAGAAAAAAAGCACTAAACATAAATCACAATAAGGCAAAATATAGCCTTGTCAATAAAAGAATAAAGGTGTAAACGTGAGAAAAAAAAGCACTAAACATAAATCACAATAAGGCAAAATATAGCCTTGTCGATAAAAGAATAAAAAAATAAGAAAAAAAGCACTAAACATAAATCACAATAAGGCAAAATATAGCCTTGTCAATAAAAGAATATAAGTGTAAACGTAAGAAAAAAAGCACTAAACATAAATCACAATAAGGCAAAATATAGCCTTGTCAATAAAAGAATAAAGGTGTAAACGTGAGAAAAAAAGCACTAAACATAAATCACAATAAGGCAAAATATAGCCTTGTCAATAAAAGAATAAAAGTGTAAACGTAAGAAAAAAAGCACTAAACATAAATCACAATAAGGCAAAATATAGCCTTGTCAATAAAAGAATAAATGTGTAAACGTGAGAAAAAAGCACTAAACATAAATCACAATAAAAATATAGCCTTGTCAATAAAAGAATAAAGGTGTAAACGGGAGAAAAAAAGCACTAAACATAAATCACAATAAGGCAAAATATAGCCTTTTCAATAAAAGAATAAAGGTGTAAACGGAGAAAAAAAAAGCACTAAACATAAATCACAATAAGGCAAAATATAGCCTTTTCAATAAAAAGAATAAAGGTGTAAACGTGAGAAAAAAAAGCACTAAACATAAATCACAATAAGGCAAAATATACCCTTGTCGATAAAAGAATATAAGTGTAAACGTAAGAAAAAAAGCACTAAACATAAATCACAATAAGGCAAAATATAGCCTTGTCAATAAAAGAATAAAGGTGTAAACGTGAGAAAAAAAAGGACAAAACATAAATCACAATAAGGCAAAATATAGCCTTGTCGATAAAAGAATATAAGTGTAAACGTAAGAAAAAAAGGACTAAACATAAATCACAATAAGGCAAAATATAGCCTTGTCAATAAAAGAATAAAGGTGTAAACGTGAGAAAAAAGCACTAAACATAAATCACAATAAGGCAAAATATAGCCTTGTCAATAAAAGAATAAAAGTGTAAACGTAAAAAAAAAGCACTAAACATAAATCACAATAAGGCAAAAATATAGCCTTGTCAATAAAAGAATAAAGGTGTAAACGTGAGAAAAAAAGCACTAAACATAAATCACAATAAGGCAAAATATAGCCTTGTCAATAAAAGAATAAAAATGTAAACGTGAGAAAAAAAGCACTAAACATAAATCACAATAAGGCAAAATATAGCCTTGTCAATAAAAGAATAAAGGTGTAAACGTGAGAAAAAAAAGCACTAAACATAAATCACAATAAGGCAAAATATAGCCTTGTCAATAAAAGAATAAAGGTGTAAACGTGCGAAAAAAAAGCACTAAACATAAATCACAATAAGGCAAAATATAGCCTTGTCAATAAAAGAATAAATGTGTAAACGTGAGAAAAAAAAGCACTAAACATAAATCACAATAAGGCAAAATATAGCCTTGTCGATAAAAGAATATAAGTTTAAACGTAAGAAAAAAAGCACTAAACATAAATCACAATAAGGCAAAATATAGCCTTGTCAATAAAAGAATAAAAGTGTAAACGTGAGAAAAAAAGCACTAAACATAAATCACAATAAGGCAAAATATAGCCTTGTCAATAAAAGAATAAAAGTGTAAACGTGAGAAAAAAAGCACTAAACATAAATCACAATAAGGCAAAATATAGCCTTGTCAATAAAAGAATAAAAGTGTAAACGTGAGATAAAAATCACTAAACATAAATCACAATAAGTCAAAATATAGGGTTTTCAATAATAGAAACGGCTTAACATGCAAGTTATAAATTGGAGATACCAAAATCAAGCAAGTACAAAGATTTAAATATCTGGGTAATCTTTTAACAAGAGACGAAAAGTGCGACACCGAAATCAGAAGACATATTGGGACGTCGAAAAATGCATTGCCGAAACTAAGCAAATTATTAAGAAACAGGAAAAATTCGTTACAAACAAAGAAAAAGGTTCTTAACCTTTTAAATTTGGCCAGACAATTCCAAGAACCATTTTGTGGTATCAAATACAACCATTCCTGATTGTGTTTGTTTTTAACATCATAATTTTCTTCCTAAGTGCAACATTGGCGTTAGTGTATATGTTAGAATTGTAGAAGTTCCTTCTTTGGTTGAAGAGGCAAAGACACAAAATGCTGTATTAAATATGACATTTTTTTGTTATTTGAAGCAACCAAAAAAGAAACAAATTTGAAATAGAAATTATGAATATGAAAATGATCCACAAGGAACTTATCTTTTTTCTGGAAGTTTTATTTTAATGTTTTATCATTTAATTTTGATAAAAATGTTTTCCAACTTTCCGACACTTTGAATTCACTGCACATGGTTTTTATTTTTTGATTTCTAGCACTTCTTGCTTGTGGAACTCTCTTCCAGCTTCATGTCTGTTATGCCTGATAATGAGCTGTTGTTATTGGTCCTCCTGTATGCCAGGGAATTCCAGACAATCTCATCAGACATGAAGAAATCACAGGAAGCAACATAAATGTGGTTCTCCAGAAGGATACTGAGAATACCATGGGCCGAATATGTGATCAAAGACGATGTTCGAGCGAAAATAGAAACAAAAATTAATCTTATACTTAACATCAGAAAGAGAGAGTTGATATTTCTAGGTCATATAATGAGGAAAGAGGGATTGGAAAATTGGATACTCACAGCAAAAATTAAAAGCAAGAGGGACAGAAGAGAAGAGCACATAACCTACCTAACGAGATGGTGTAAATGGGGGCAAAACAAAGGTTTTAGGGGAGGCAATAAAAAGACAAATGTTTATTAAATTTTACTTTACAACGGGCTGGAAATGGTGGAGAGCCATAATCCAAAACCTTCGGGAGAAACACGGCATGGAAAATAAGAATAAGAATGGCGTCTCATACAAAGAAATTGACATTAAATAATCCATCAAAGGTTGACATAGAAAATTATCTCAGTTTTTTCATATCTATCTATCTATCTATCTATCTATCTATCTATCTATCTATCTATCTATCTATCTATCTCAGTCTGTTCAATATCTATCTATTTATCTACCTATCTCAGCCCGTTCCAATCTAAGTCTGTTCAGATCTATCTATCTATCTATCTATCTATCTATCTATCTATCTATCTATCTATATATATATATGTCTGTTCAATATCTATCTATCTATCTATCTATCTATCTATCTATCACCTTTTCCATATCTATCTATCTATCTATCTATCTATCTATCTATCTATCTCAGTCTGTTCAGTATCTATCTATCTGTGTCTGTTCATATCTATCTATCTATCTATCTATCTATCTCAGTCTGTTCAATATCTATCTATCAGTCTGAGTCTGCTCAATATCTATCTATCTATCTATCTATCTATCTATCTATCTATCTATCTATCTATCTATCTCAGTCTGTTCAATATCTATTTATCTATCGTTCAAATCTATCTAAGTCTGTTCAACTATATTTATCTATTTGAGTCTGTTCAAATTTATCTATCTTGTGCGGTCCCTCACATCATACCAACAAGGATAGCCTCGTGTTCATAGGAATAAGAACATACAAATATATACAAACACTAAAATATATTAAATTATAAGTTAAAATCATATATATATATATATATATTTTCTGTTTCCTTGTGTGTGTGTATTTTAGTTATGTGTGTTTTAAGGTTGCATCCGATAGAGTCTCATGTCAAACAATGTGCCGAGGAAAAGAAATGGGCGTCTTGACCCTTTGGAGGTACTTAGCGAAAGGAGTGACTTGAACGTTTTTAGGTAGGAACGTTGTCCGTTGGATAATTTTTATTATTTAGATTTTATTCATTTTAAACAAAATTTTTTTCTTATTTTATTTATGATATTTATTATTATTATTATTATTATTATTATTTGTTCCCTGATTTGTATCCTGTGCATTTTCATAGTAAAAATCATTTGCAATGCATTTTCATAGTAAAAATCATTTGCAATGCATTTTTATAGTAAAAATCATTTGCAATGCATTTTTATAGTAAAAATCATTTGCAATGCATTTTTATAGTAAAAATCATTTGCTATGCATTTTTATAGTAAAAATCATTTGCAATGCATTTTCATAGTAAAAATCATTTGCAATGCATTTTTATAGTAAAAATCATTTGCAATGCATTTTTATAGTAAAAATCATTTGCTATGCATTTTTATAGTAAAAATCATTTGCAATGCATTTTTACAGTAAAAATCATTTGCAATGCATTTTCATAGTAAAAATCATTTGCAATGCATTTTTATAGTAAAAATCATTTGCAATGCATTTTCATAGTACAAATCATTTGCTATGCATTTTTATAGTAAAATCATTTGCAATGGATTTTTATAGTAAAATCATTTGCAATGGATTTTTATAGTAAAAATCATTTGCAATGTATTTTTATAGTAAAAATCATTTGCTATGCATTTTTATAGTAAAATCATTTGCAATGGATTTTTATAGTAAAAATCATTTGCAATGGATTTTCATAGTAAAAATTATTTGCAATGCATTTTTATAGTAAAAATCATGTGCAATGCATTTTTATAGTAAAAATCATTTGTCATGCATTTTCATAGTAAAAATCATTTGCAATGCATTTTCATAGTAAAAATCATTTGCAATGAATTTTCATAGTAAAAATCATTTGCAATGCATTTTTATAGTAAAAATCATTTGCAATGCATTTTCATAGTAAAAATCATTTGCAATGCATTTTTATAGTAAAAATCATTTGCTATGCATTTTTATAGTAAAATCATTTGCAATGGATTTTTATAGTAAAAGTCATTTGCAAAATACTTTATAGTTAAACAATAAAAATGATTTGCAATACATTTTAATAAAAAAATATCATCGGCATTACATTAAAAAGTACAGTAAAAAGTATTTTCAGTTGGTATTTACAGTTAAAATTCCTATTGAATATTTATATATTTTTTCTATTTACTGTGTCTTTCGTTGTACAGTCATTAGCGTGAATGAATGCTTTAATGTCTTCGTTTGATTAATCCCAAATGCAATAAGACAGGTTACCTAAACAATCGAACGAAAACTAAGCAAAGATTACACAACATAGGAATCATGTTTCATATTTCCTTTAAGTCATAACGAACGCGTGTAGGGACGAGATTAGCAGAGCAATTAACTGAAGCGAGTGATTAAGTCTGATAATAACATCTTTTCGAAAACAAGCACGTGAATGATCACTTGGGAGAAGGAATCGAAATTGAGAGTTATAAATGTTTTATAATACAGTTTGTAGCCTGTCATTAGAAAAGAAAAAAAAAGATTTTCAAATTGAAGTCATAACTTGATGTCTTGTGATAAAATACAATAGAGAAATTAACGGTTTTCTTATGATGGCATGTAGTTGATTTGAAGTAGTATTTCAGGTTCAAAGCAAGTCAGTCATTTATGTGCCATGCGTGATACACGCTTAGACGATCATGTATCTTTCGATATATGAGTGACGAGGCAGATTTTTCCGTAGTAGGTTGCCATTTCTTTCTGCAGTAAACCAGTAGCCATCTAAGGCTATAGAACCCGGTCTGTCCTGCTAATTACCCATAGCTGAGGGGGAGAGAAAAAGGGTTAATATTTGAAGTTGGCATTCAGTCAGTTATGCACTATACGTGATAAACGTTTAGGCGATCACGTATCTTTCGATACATGACTGACGAGGCAAATTGTTTCCCGCAGTAGGTTACCATTTCTTTCTGCGGTAGACCAGTTGCCATCCAAGGCTATAGAGCTACTTACCCATAACTGGGGACGAGGGCGAAATAAGCGGATTGATATTTGAATTTGGTATTCAATCAGTTAGATGCCATGCGTGAGACACGCTTAAGCGATCATGTATCTTTCGATACATAACTGACTAGGCAGATTTTTCCTGCAGTCGTTTGCCATTTCTTTCTGCAGTAGACCGGTTGCCATCCAAGGCTATAGAACCTGGTCTGTCCTGCTGAGGAGAGAAGAATAGGATTCATATCTTTCCCAAGGGTATTATCACGCAAGTGAATGTAATGGATTCGACTGCAATTTGAACTCGGCTCTTTGATTGCTCAATCCGAGCCGCTATCCATAATTCCACCGTACCTCCAAAGCAAGACAATCTGTTTAAACAACTTTTTAAACTTTAAACTTTAGTCAAAGTGAAATAAAATCCAAGTTCAAATTAACACAAACTGTTTGATAATCAAAAGCTCTTTAAAATCAAAAGAGGCGCAGAAGGAAATGTTGCAATCAAAAATAGAACGTCCAATATCCAAAAATCTCAGCACATGTCTCTCCGCTATCAATCCACTGCACCGTTCGAACCGTCCGATTAAAAAAAAAACAAAAAAAAACTGCCTCCTTTGTGCTCTTCAGTTTTATCAGTTACATGGTTCGCGCATGCAAATCACGAACAGTTTAAGTCTTTGTCTTGCACATGCTCCATGACGGAATTGCAAATGGCAACCATCACCGCCCCTTTGTCTCACTTCACGACATGACAATAACGCCTTTCAGGGACCGAAACAGTATTACTCTCGGTTAAAAGTTTTAAAAGTTTCTCTGGAGTTTTGTTTCAGAAATAGACTTGACAAGTCCACTGTTAGCGTTATTTCTACTATTGATGATCTTTTTTAATCGTTTCACGCCAAGCAAGGCGATAATACTACTAGAGCGTAGGTGTTAAAAATGAAAGTGAAAGTGAAAGTGAAAACTGAAAATGGGGAGGACTGTGGAAAGGACATAAAAGAACAGGGTTCACGAAAGCGGAAGATGGCGATTGACGATGCGTTTAAATGTTTGGAGATTGTAGTTATCACGAAAGCAAGAAATAGGGAGGGATTTTAACAGGTAGGAAGTGCGAGAAAAGAAAATATTAGAGTAATAGTGGTGGTTGCTTTTAACTAATATAACAGTAAATCGCTGAGACCTATTTGGCAACCTAGTAGCATGCTTATATTCATGTAGTCGGGGAATCAGGGGTAAAATCATCAAAAAAGATGCCATGGAAATATATGTAGAAAAGCCATCTTAAGTCGAGATACATGGTAAGAATCGATTACATTGCAGATCTTTCTTTGGAATTTTGAAAGAATATTTTTCCTTACATTTTGTTTACGGTAGAAAGAATGTTTCCTAACATTTTGATTATGGAATTATTTTCCCGCTTAATTAGATGTTACAAAGTTACATGTTACGAGTTACATGTGCTATCCATTGTAAATGTTGCTGTGAGAAGTCTTCTTGCCATGTGCTTTTGCAAACCTCTTTGCAATTCTCTAGTGCCAGTCTATAAGACGACGCGAAGAATTGTCTCCTTTAAAACTTAAAGATTTCATTACCTGGGGCCATTTTTAATAACTGTTCTGAGAAATCCATTGTATATAGCTAATAGTTTCAACATTTCCGAACAAGTTAGACAAGACGAATGGCAACCATATAAGTGACTGGAAATGTTGTCCGTTTAAAAAAAATGCTTGGAAATGTTTGAACACATTTAGTATCGCCCGTGATAGATTAGCCAATCAAAATTCAGTTCATTCAACGCCTTCCGCTCTTATTGATTGATTCGCGTTTTACGACTTATCAACCATTTTCAGGTTATTTGAAGCCATAAATTATTTTTAGATTGTAAGGATTTTTTTAGATAATAATAATTTCGTATCTGTCTATATTTCTAACATGATGTATGATGTACACTATTTACATTATTCGGACTATTGTCCTCATCTTTGTTACCACTTTTATCACAACGTTTCGGCCGTTGTACACTCCGGCCTTCTTCAGGTGGTTGGAATGTCGAACTGAAACCATTATTTTGCTCGCTGGGGTAGACTGTGCCATGTCTCCTTAAGGACACATGGCACAGTGGATAAAGGCATTGGGTACATCCAGTGACAGGTGTGACACCCGCCGGTGGTCACGGTCGCAGCGCCAGCACCAATATGGGACGTCCACTCGCCGCGACGTCAATATATGACACTGCGCCGTCGGCCCGTGGTCAACTCCCAGTTGCGGCGCGAAGCTGTAAGGTTTCTTCCACCACCGTTTTGGGGTTGACTCCTTGTCGCCGCCATCAGCTTGTGTCCCGGTCGATCTGTTCGTTTCCGGTTCGATATCAGATTTGTCGTTCTCAGCTCGCCTCCAACGCTTGGTCACCGAAGTAACTGCTTTGATCTCAAGCCTAACCTACCCACGTTGTGACTTTGATCTTAGGTAGACGAAATCAATCAGGCGTGGGGCCGTAGTGCAAGGTGAATCCGGGGTAAAGGTGATACCGCACAAGCGTATGTAAAAGAAAATAATAAAACAAACTCACGAAGTTCAAATATGTTGAGAAATAACAATTAACTTTATCTATCTGTTGAATACAGGAGTGTGTTTCTCTCCCGACCCGTTTCTATGGATTCGTGACACTTTTTGCGTTTCTTACGCGAGTT